TTTGTTGCAGGAGAGACTTTATTTATATTCGTATATTCCGCGAGATTGAAAAGAAACCACATGTCTCATCAATCACACCTTTGTGAATCTACTCAGTAAAGTAATTAGGAATTTAGATCAAGGACTGGTTTTTGATTGAGACTATAATGCATGAAGCTGTTTAAGTTGAGTTCTTATTTATCGACTCTTGATCGAAAATCTCACTACCCGAAAGTCTGTCTTTCGGTTTGACTCGTAAACTAGTAAAGGCCTCAGGAATTTCCACCTGGAGACCTGGGAGTTGTACTTCTTACCTGCAGGTCCCTGTGCACCAGCTGGGGCACTAAAAGGCGCAGGTATAGCCGCCGGAGCCCCAGGAGATCCTGGTGGGCCTGAAGGTCCTGATGGTCCGGCAGCACCAGGGACTCCCTGTTTTCCAGGGGCACCCATGGCTCCTATTGCTCCCTGGGGCCCTGATGGTCCTTGAAAACCTATCAGAAATGACATATGGTTGATTATGCTAAAATGGTATTGTGTGACAAATAGCTCTGTAAATCTAGAGCTATTCTCTTAGCAAAATATTTCAACGACTTAACGATTGTCAGATAGCAAATTAGGTGTCACACTTATCTTCATCTATGGGTATGAAGATGGCTTAGAGAATTTACATGGCTGATTAGAAAAATTCTAATTTATATACGAAAATAAACAATATAGCGTGTAGGCATCCTGCTATTCCTTTTTGCATTCTTGTTTTTTGTTTTTTTTTTTTTCCTTTTTCATAGCAATATTTTGGTATGAAAGAACTCACCTGCTTTTTCACGATCAAGCTGATCAAACATTTTTTTTTTTAATATCAGGAACCCTTCCATTACGAAACTATATACCAAAATCGCAGGTCACTGAACTTTACCTGCTGGGCCTTGTCTTCCAGCTGGAGCACTATGAGTTTTGGACGTTGCCGCTGGAAACCCAGGGGAACCAAGGGGACCTGGTGGACCTGGAGCTCCAGCTGCTCCTTGGTCTCCTGGATTTCCCCTGGCTCCCATAGTTCCCATAGCCCCTTGAGGACCCTGAGGTCCTCGAAGCCCTAATAAAAGTTATAATCCATGTAAACAATACTCCACAGTAAGTAATGTGCAAACATGTTATAATGTAGGTCTTAAAAATACCAAATAATACTCTCACAACTAAAGCGCACATGAGATCGTTTAGAATGATTGTGATAGATGATGAACGTTCTTACCAGCTTGACCTGCTGCACCAGCTGGTGCACCATAAGCCGCAGGTGGCGACGCCTGTGCCCCCGCGGGGGGACCTGGGAGCCCTGGTGGACCAGGAGGTCCAGCTGCTCCTTGGTCTCCTGGATTTCCCCTAGCTCCCATAGCTCCCATGGCCCCTTGAGGACCCTGGGGTCCTTGAAGCCCTGATAAAAGTTGTAATCCATGTCAACAATACTCCACAGTAAGTAACGTGAAAACGTGTCTTAATGAAGGTTCTGAAGAGACAAAATAACACTCTCACAACTAAAGCGCTCATTCTATCGTTAAAAATGATTTTGATAGATGATGAACGTTCTTACCAGCTTGACCTGGAGCACCAGCTGGTGCACCATAAGCTGCAGGTGTCGACGCCTGTGCCCCAGCGGAGGGACCTGGGGGCCCTGGTGGACCAGGAGGTCCTGCTGCTCCTTGGTCTCCTGGATTTCCTCTGGCTCCCATAGCTCCCATAGCCCCTTGAGTACCCTGAGGTCCCTGAAGCCCTGATAACAGTTATGATCTATGTAAACAATCTTCTTAGGGAATATGAGTCGAAGTAAATTGGTGAATTGAATGTTCATGAATAACAGAATATAAAACTGTTTTAGAGCATATTGGTCTCTCTCGTTCGAGTCACTGAAGATTTTATTCAGCTTTAGCATCAACATCTCTAACCTGCAGAGCCTGGCAGACCAGTCGGGGCATTGTTATTTGTGGAAGTTATCGCTGGAATCCCGGGTGGACCCGGTAGACTCGGAGGTGCGGGTGCTCCAGCTTCTGCTGGTTCTCCTGGACTTCCCATAGCTCCCATAGCTCCCTTTGTTCCTTGTGCGCCTTGAGGTCCTTGAACACCTAGTGCGAAAGGAAAGTTCAGCTATGAGCTATGCTTGTTTGACCTTAGGCCTTGTTGACATTCATCTTTCACAGGAGAACAATTCGTGTCATTACAATCACCCCTGAGTTTGCTTTCTTTGAACATAGTGGTTCAAGGTAGCAGTAGGTATTAAGAAACAACACATTTTTCATTTGTATAATAAAAAAATTGTCAAGCAATTATGACCATAACTGCATTTTGTGGTTTTCAAGAGTAAATTTAACATTTCGAATTTTTTTTTTTTTTTTATGACGGGCTACGTGTTTAAAGATAGACGCCGACATTTAAATCTCGTCTTGCAAACTGTCTTACCACTTGGAAAACTGCTCGAAAAATTTGGAATTCAACAAAAGGGCATTGGAAATATCGGAGGGGACTAACACAAAAAATGAGCTTGCCTCATGGACTGTCGTTATGATGTGTCCTGTATTTTAAAAATTACAGGAATAGTTTGGGAGTCATCGTTATCGCCATCGTGGGTGACATTTTTATTGTAGTTGTTGTTGTCTTTTTCTATGTCACTGTCTTTGTCTTTGTTTTTGTCATTATTATTGATAGTTTTAAAAATATTCCAAGTGCTTACCTGCTTGGCCTGGTGCACCCCCTGGGGCTCCATACGCTGTTACTGTGGCCGGTACCCCAAGGGGGCCGGGGGCTCCTGGTTCCTCTGGACTTCCCTCAGGTCCCTGATGACCTATCGAAATTTCGTGGCGTTGTTTAGGTTAGTCAGCTGACTGCATGCCGTTGAAATCATGAAATTTCTACTACAGCATTGTAATTCTAGGTCTTTAAGAAACCTGTCAAAATTAGTGTTTTTAGCATTTTTTCCTCATTCGTTTCACTTCTTTTAGGATCCACAATAAATCACTTATTAATTATTAATTCATTTATAAATTCATTCATCCTTAGGTAGGAGACTAGACTTCAACCCATCTACGTGAACTCACCATTGGCACTTGGTACACCAGCTCCTGAACAACAGGCGCTTGGGCATGTACTCACACAGATTGTCTCACAAATCTCAGGACACGTTGGAGGAGGAGAAGTGGCTGGAATTCCTGGAAGTCCGGGTGGTCCAGGGGGACCAGGTGGTCCTGCTAAGCCCGGATCTCCCATTTCCCCGGGATGCCCCATTGCACCCGCAGGTCCATTATCACCATTTGGTCCTTTTGGTCCTGATTGAAAGAAAAACGTTCATGAACTTTTAAAAGTGATTATAGAAAGGAAAAACAACAGCGGCTTCAGCAATAAAAAGGTTAAGTACAAAACTTAACATATACTGAAATGACTCCGCACTTGCGTTGTATCAAGAAAGAAAAGGAAGAAAAGGACAGTCTATGTTCTTTATGAAACTGCATTGTGTAAGACTTGCATTATGTTGCAATGCTTTCTCTACAACACTGCCAAATAAGCTGATCGAACAGACCCTGGATAAGAGTTGGCCTGATCAAATGTCATCACAAAAAAAAGGATACGTCTTGAGGAAGAAGGTTTACCTGGGGCACCAGGGGCGGCTGGAGGACCCGGGGACCCTGGAGGGCCGACAGGACCCATATCGCCAGGTTCCCCTAAACTTCCGGGTTGTCCTGGATTTCCAGAGAGTCCCGGTGTTCCTTTCAATGAGGAGAGAAGAGTGAGCGTGAATTAGCTCATAATGCCATGACAGACTTAGACTTTCTCTCGCGTTTTTTAAGTAACCGTAAAGTAACCGTAGGAGTGTGGCTCTTACAAATCGGACACTTTTGCTGACAACGAGTGACGAAAGTGTTAACTCGTTGATTTAATAGACTCCATATACATTTCTAGCATCAATTTTTATTTTTTCGAATTTTCGTTAATTTTTTTTGTTTGTTTTGCACTTGTTCCTCGCATTTCTAAGGTTCCTGCTAGCTGCCTAAAACCTTTCCTAATTTCATTCTGATCACTTTTGACTCAAACTTACCTGGAGGGCCAGCCGGACTGCCTGGAGCTCCGGGAAAACCAGGAGGCCCCCGAGGACCGGGTGGTCCGGGGATTCCCTTTGGTCCATCTGGCCCTGGTGGCCCAGCTGGACCAACAGGACCATCAGGCCCGGGGGGTCCGGGCTGAGGAGGAGGAGGGGGCGGAGGTGGTGCAGGTGTGTAGTACTGGAAGAAGTTGCAACAACCGGGTAAACATTCAGGAGAGCAGTATGAAGGGCAGTCTGATCCGCAAGGAGAAGCGTCTCTCCTGATATCTAGTACAATAGCAATGTCGTTTGATTAGACCAGGAAGATTTAGGATCCCAAGATTAAAGTATTAAGAATAATAAAAAACCAAAGTTTTGTTCTGGTCAAGATGGGACAAATTCGAGTTAGGCTTATGCCACAAGCACCATCGAGGTAATCTTAGTTATTATCTGGAAACCAGGAGCTATATGGATCAAAACTTCAAAAATTCAGAACTTACGGAATTTAGGCCAAAATATCCATTTCTGTTCCATAGTAAAAATATTCCATTTGGTGTTCCGTGAAACAAAACGTAAAAGAATCAAAGTCGCTCTTATTTGTCATCAACTGAGTATAATTCGTTAACATCTCCTACAACGTTGCTCTAGGATGCGTTTTGGTATACCTATTCTGTTAATTGGATTTTAAATAATGGTCTAACCCTTTTTCAGCGCCAGACGACCAGTAACAGATGCACAGATCATCAACCATATTCCGAATAAATGAAGGACGGACCAGTATTTCCCATCCATGCGTTGCTGGTTGCTCTGGGAAGGGATGATACGAATGGCATTGAGTCAGTTTTTGTTTATTCCTTCAGAACCCTTGTATCTCCTGAGTTTTGCTCAAGGTATTTTTGCCCATTCACCAGAGGAAGGTAATATGACTTGGGTTATATCGGAGTCATAACACTTATAGATATGACCACCGCAAGTTGTAGATTATGAAAATTATTTCAACGGGTAAAGTATGATATTTCCGGCAAGCATTATTTTCCTATTTATCTAACTTTTCAGTCACCCAAAGCCTTTGTGGAGCAGCTTGAGTTCTATCTCACTGATTTAGGTAAGGTGTAAAGCGAGGCGAATGGGAAAGGAATTTCTTCTTCTGACGTGTTTCCTATTTTTCAAAGATCAAAATATTGATAAATATGGTCTATAGCTAGTTTATGCAACAACAAAGTGAATAGGAAACAAACTCCACAGAAATGATAAAAAGATATTTCCTAAATAAGAAAAAAATTAAGTGACCTCAAATTTTTTCTGTTGTTATTTATGAACAACGAAAGCGTGCTGATGTTTGTTCATAACACCAATGCGTGCGGAGAAATTTTCCTTGCAAACTACATCTTCTATTGAACGTAGTCGAGAGATATTATTTTAAGGTTAGACATTACGCACTTACTTTGTTACAAATTTGCTTCCGGTACCGCAAAAACCTTTCAAAGATTTTTTTCAGAATTTTCTTTTTAGTTGTCTTTAACTGAAACTATATTTTTCAGTCTTATTCAGTTTTGTTTCAAAAGTCAACCTTTTAATATTTAACGAACCGGCAAGGTGTAAGTAGTTCGTCTATTTATCTTATTCGGGTACCATAGAACTGGTGGTAGAATAGTGATCTTCTCTTAACCTGTTCCTGACAATTTTAAATGTCGTGGATTAAGAGAATTGAGTACGTGATCAATGCGATTTTTTTCATATCGATCTTTCAGTCACTTCGAAGACAGAATCAATAGGGCACCTCACCGAAAAAAAAGGACCCCGGCTCAAAAAAAAAAAAAAAGAAAAGGGGCGGAAGAAGCTATCGCGACTAGAGGAGAGTGGTTACGGGATAGAGTGAGGAAACTTAATGGATTGAGGAAAAATTTTCTTAGGCGGAAAGTCTGAAGAATACAACATGTCTGTGATTGGGGCTGACCGATTACGGAAAATTTTGGGAGCCTCTTAACCCAGCTAAATGATGTAAACAATGCTAACCTTCCGCCGAATTATGGGTCATTATTTTTTTATCTCTCATTATGTCGGTTACCAGAGCTGACTGGCTAGCGTTAACTGGGATGACTGCGAACAATTCAGAGTGGCTAAATAAATTGAAGAAGGGAAAACTGCAACTCAAGGAAGTTATCGATAAGGGATTTTGTTGGGACTGTGATATCTGATCTGCTGACTGCTCCCTGCTCGGAAAATAATACCGTTATGATGCGCTTCCGAAGTAAAGGCAAAGTATCGAATGAACTTGTAATCAGGTAAAAATTTAATCCTCGCGATTAAGCTGCAATCAAAAAAAGAAGAAACCTGAAAACGTTTTAGACCGGTTACCAGACACCAGTTGGGCGCCACTTGTAACTAAGCTTCGAAGTCACGTGTTGGTAACGGGTTAAATGGTAGTAGGTTCTTCGTTCCCGTAAAGGAATATAATCCCAGTTAATTTTCATGGTATACCATGGATTTAAAGGAAACTTATATCCTAGTAGTGATTGTCCCTTATTTTCAGGTCTATATTTTCTCGTTGAAAGGCGTTGATTAATTATAAAGAGAAGACAAAACAAGAAAAACGAAAAGCTAATAGCCGGTGGTGACCAAATCGAAGGCCCCCACAGCATCGCACATCGAAGAAGTGAAAAGAAATGCGTAAAAAAGATGTTATAACAAATTTAATCTGCTTTAATTTTCATTTGCATTAAGTACTACGTAACTCTGTGCACAAAGTAATAATCTTTTGTGTGATAATAATCTTTTGTGTAATAATCTTTTTATGGCCTGCTCCCAGTTGGCTTGTTAGCTCAATTGGTAGAGCACTGCACTAGTATCGCAGAGGTCAGTGGTTCGAGTCCCGTACAGGCCTGAATTTTTTTCAGGTCTGATTTTCACTATTGCTTAAATAGTGCTTTACTGCGAGGGATCGTGCACATATACGTTTCATAACCGCAGTTCATATATATGTATTTCATATGTTTGTTGTTTGATTTATCATCTACGGGTTTATGTCGAATTAATTTGATGGCCTGCTCCCAGTTGGCTTGTTAGCTCAATTGGTAGAGCGCTGCACTAGTATCGCAGAGGTCAGTGGTTCGAATCCCGTACAGGCCTGAATTTTTTTCAGGTCTGATTTTCACTATTGCTTAAATAGTGCTTTACTGCGAAGGATCGTGCACATATACGTTTCATAACCGCAGTTCATATATATGTATTTCATATGTTTGTTGTTTGATTTATCATCTACGGGTTTATGTCGAATTAATTTGATGGCCTGCTCCCAGTTGGCTTGTTAGCTCAATTGGTAGAGCGCTGCACTAGTATCGCAGAGGTCAGTGGTTCGAATCCCGTACAGGCCTGAATTTTTTTCAGGTCTGATTTTCACTATTGCTTAAATAGTGCTTTACTGCGAAGGATCGTGCACATATACGTTTCATAACCGCAGTTCATATATATGTATTTCATATGTTTGTTGTTTGATTTATCATCTACGGGTTTATGTCGAATTAATTTGATGGCCTGCTCCCAGTTGGCTTGTTAGCTCAATTGGTAGAGCGCTGCACTAGTATCGCAGAGGTCAGTGGTTCGAATCCCGTACAGGCCTGAATTTTTTTCAGGTCTGATTTTCACTATTGCTTAAATAGTGCTTTACTGCGAAGGATCGTGCACATATACGTTTCATAACCGCAGTTCATATATATGTATTTCATATGTTTGTTGTTTGATTTATCATCTACGGGTTTATGTCGAATTAATTTGATGGCCTGCTCCCAGTTGGCTTGTTAGCTCAATTGGTAGAGCGCTGCACTAGTATCGCAGAGGTCAGTGGTTCGAATCCCGTACAGGCCTGAATTTTTTTCAGGTCTGATTTTCACTATTGCTTAAATAGTGCTTTACTGCGAAGGATCGTGCACATATACGTTTCATAACCGCAGTTCATATATATGTATTTCATATGTTTGTTGTTTGATTTATCATCTACGGGTTTATGTCGAATTAATTTGATGGCCTGCTCCCAGTTGGCTTGTTAGCTCAATTGGTAGAGCGCTGCACTAGTATCGCAGAGGTCAGTGGTTCGAATCCCGTACAGGCCTGAATTTTTTTCAGGTCTGATTTTCACTATTGCTTAAATAGTGCTTTACTGCGAAGGATCGTGCACATATACGTTTCATAACCGCAGTTCATATATATGTATTTCATATGTTTGTTGTTTGATTTATCATCTACGGGTTTATGTCGAATTAATTTGATGGCCTGCTCCCAGTTGGCTTGTTAGCTCAATTGGTAGAGCGCTGCACTAGTATCGCAGAGGTCAGTGGTTCGAATCCCGTACAGGCCTGAATTTTTTTCAGGTCTGATTTTCACTATTGCTTAAATAGTGCTTTACTGCGAAGGATCGTGCACATATACGTTTCATAACCGCAGTTCATATATATGTATTTCATATGTTTGTTGTTTGATTTATCATCTACGGGTTTATGTCGAATTAATTTGATGGCCTGCTCCCAGTTGGCTTGTTAGCTCAATTGGTAGAGCGCTGCACTAGTATCGCAGAGGTCAGTGGTTCGAATCCCGTACAGGCCTGAATTTTTTTCAGGTCTGATTTTCACTATTGCTTAAATAGTGCTTTACTGCGAAGGATCGTGCACATATACGTTTCATAACCGCAGTTCATATATATGTATTTCATATGTTTGTTGTTTGATTTATCATCTACGGGTTTATGTCGAATTAATTTGATGGCCTGCTCCCAGTTGGCTTGTTAGCTCAATTGGTAGAGCGCTGCACTAGTATCGCAGAGGTCAGTGGTTCGAATCCCGTACAGGCCTGAATTTTTTTCAGGTCTGATTTTCACTATTGCTTAAATAGTGCTTTACTGCGAAGGATCGTGCACATATACGTTTCATAACCGCAGTTCATATATATGTATTTCATATGTTTGTTGTTTGATTTATCATCTACGGGTTTATGTCGAATTAATTTGATGGCCTGCTCCCAGTTGGCTTGTTAGCTCAATTGGTAGAGCGCTGCACTAGTATCGCAGAGGTCAGTGGTTCGAATCCCGTACAGGCCTGAATTTTTTTCAGGTCTGATTTTCACTATTGCTTAAATAGTGCTTTACTGCGAAGGATCGTGCACATATACGTTTCATAACCGCAGTTCATATATATGTATTTCATATGTTTGTTGTTTGATTTATCATCTACGGGTTTATGTCGAATTAATTTGATGGCCTGCTCCCAGTTGGCTTGTTAGCTCAATTGGTAGAGCGCTGCACTAGTATCGCAGAGGTCAGTGGTTCGAATCCCGTACAGGCCTGAATTTTTTTCAGGTCTGATTTTCACTATTGCTTAAATAGTGCTTTACTGCGAAGGATCGTGCACATATACGTTTCAT